ACTGTTGAGTATGAACAGGCTGACATCTACACGATCCAAAGCATAGTCCAATTGAGTTTAACATAAAAAAGCTTCAAACACGTCAAAAGTTGAAACGTATGAATTTAATACCATACAACGGTCCACCTTTAGAATTCACAAAATTATCGTAGGGCTAAGACTATCGCAACTCACATACTTTAACAGACTAACGACTGTCGTTGCGCTACAATACGATCGCCTTGTGGAACGGCCCTTGCACCTCAAAGTTTACAATAACGTCACAATACCCGATGACGTAATTTGTTGAATTTTGTTGCAAGATCCATTGGCGAAACAATGCCATGTGACGTCAGCCTAGCGACAAGGTTGCTGGAGTCATCGAGTGTGCATAAGCTCCTCTCAGTGATCTATCAACTCCACGCGCAATGTCGTTGTATAAGCCAAGGGATTTCAATATTTGTTCCTAAAACATGTCCCGAGAGTACATAAGCACGCGTTCTGGTATTACACAATGTGTAATACAGCTGTATGTTTATTAAACGGGTGATCTCTTCACGGGCAAGTAATAATTTAGGTTTCACAAGTTACGATACGGTTCACAAAGTTGTTTAGAAGGACATAGCACAAGGACTTCTCTTACTGCTAATACTACCACTACTACTAAAACCACTCCCACTACTCCTACTACTGCTGCTACTCCTACTACAATTACTACAACTACTGCTACTACTACAAATACTACTACTACAACCACTACCACTACTACTAGTAGTACTGTTGCTACTCCTACTACAACTACTGCTACTACTACTGCTACTACTACTACTACTACTACTACTACAACCACTACAACCACCACTACTAGTACTAGTACTGCTGCTGCTGCTACTACTACTGCTACTACTACTACAACAACTACCACCACCACTACTATCACTAGTAGAGCTGCTGCTACAACTACTACTACTACTACTACTATTACTACTTCAACTACCACTACCACTACTACAACTAGTACTGCTGCTGCTACTACTACAACTACAACTACTACTACTACTACTACTACTACTACTACTACTACTACAACCACTACAACCACCACTACTAGTACTAGTACTGCTGCTGCTGCTACTACTACTACTGCTACTACTACAACCACTACCACCACCACTACTATTACTAGTAGAGCTGCTGCTACTACTACTACTACAACCACTACCACCACCACTACTATTACTAGTAGAGCTGCTGCTACTACTATAACAACTACCACCACCACTACTATTACTAGTAGAGCTGCTGCTACAACTACTACTACTAATACTACTACTACTACAACTACCACTACCACTACCACTACTACAACTAGTACTGCTTGTGCTACTACTACAACTACTACAACTACTGCCACTACTCCTAATACAACCACCACTGGCCCTATTTCTACAACTACTACTACCACTACCACCAGTACTACCACTTCTACTACAACTACTACCACTACCGCTACTACTACCAACACTACTACCACAACTACCACCACTACTACTCCTTCTATCACTACCACACAACTACAACTGTTACTACTGCTTCTACTGCCACCACTACCACTACCTCTACCACTAATAATAATAATAAAATTAATAATAATAATAATAATAATAATAATAATAATAATAATGGGCCTGATGAACTAAACGTACGTAACTAGGTTACTAATTTACAACTCCGCAGCCCAGTCGGCCTCCCTCCGTTATACAAACCAACCAAACTGGAGATGGGACTTGCGCCAGGGAGAACCGCCCAAGAATATCTTGGACGCAACAACTTAAGTCCACCCTTCTTGAGTGTGCGAAAGCAACAGGGTGGCCAGAAATACCCCGAGTAAATGGCAGATTGTTGAAGCAGCAGTGGGACAAAGCCATACCAATCTGTGCACATCTCACAGAACAAAACATCCGTGACCAGCTCCGGCGACTAAAATTATACTGCGCCGTGAACCTGGTGAGCTAACTGCCAACACTCGTCAGGCGCCTGTGCATGAACCTTCAGATCCAACAGTAGCAGACCCGAAATTGCCAATGAACGTTCGCATTATTCTTCCTAAATTACCTGATGGAATTGTCACTGATGACACATTCATGGGCTCACAAATGAAATTCCTGATGGTTGCTCCGAAGCTTTTGAGTTTTCTCCCTCTTCTGACCCCTCTTTTGTCAATGATCTTAATAATGACCCCTTTGTATATTTTGTTTATGTAATTCTATAATCAAATCTGTGATTAATCGATTGAGAAACGGAGGCCAATTAAACATTTAAATAAATCATTTCCACAGAATGAAATTGATATGTTGTGTGTATGCTGCTGCTCGAACACCTGATTGCCTGAAAAATGTAATTAAAAAGTCCAAATCTAATACGGCGCCAGGGCCTGATGGTAATCGAAACCGGTTTTGGAAACTGTTTCCTCGAGTCCAAACACCATTACTTCACTGTTTTAATTCTCTTGTGGACACAAGGGATGTTCCGCCTTGGTTGTGCAAGGGTCGAACAATACTCTTCCCAGACTATAGAAAAGTTTATGATTCTGTACCTCACGAATGGATTTTGAGGTCACTGGAATGTATTGACTTTCCCGAGCGACTACTTGCTTTACTCAAGTCTTTAATGAATTGCTGGTCAACTCAACTTGAGATGTATTCGCAGGGGCAGGTGGTGACTTCGGAACCCATTTCATCAGAGGAGGGATATTTCACGGCGATTCTTTTAGCGCTTTGCTTTTCTGTTTGTCACTAAATCCTTTAAGCTTTTTGCTTAGCAAATAGGAAGGTTATCACCCGTGACCTCCCAGCACAGATCCCAACACCCCTGACTCCCTTTACATGGATGACCTTGAACTTATTGCAAATGGAGGACCTACACTCAAAAAACAGATTCTCCTTACCGAGTACTTTTCTAAAGATATCGGCATGTCCTTTGGACTCGACAAATGAAATATTCTTCATTTGAAACGTGATAAGGTAGAAGAGGGAAGGTCAGTCCGTTTACTTGGAGGAGGAGTTATTGACCATCTTGTTAAAGGTCAGGCCTATGCGTACTTAGGGATGCAGATTAGGGACAAACTCCAGAATGCCCATATCAAGGAAAAACTTCGGGCAGAATACAAATGTAGACTTAAGAAAATCTGGAGTTCAGAGCTGAACGCTCGCAATAAAGTAAAAGCCACAAATACTTATGCTGTGACCATCGTTTCATATTCTTTTGGTGTTGTAGATTGGACGAAACAGGAAATTCAGGGCATTGACACCCTCACAAGTAGAATCATGTCAGACAATAGATCCCACCACCCTCGCTCTTTCCTCAATCGCTTATATTTACCAGTCATTATGGGAGGACGTGGTTTGACTGGCGTTGGGACTCTTCATGATAGAATTGTTTTGTGCACTTTGCACACATTTATTTGTCTGATTATCCTCTTGTGAAGCATGTCAAGACTCATGATGACAACAAGGCATTTCACAGTTTTCTAAAACGAGCCAAGGATGTGGGACAAAATCTCAATGTCGGTGTTGATTTTGTTGATGGTTCTGTACTGCTGAACGGTACAGAAATGAGTGTCAACAAAGCGAAGTGCCATATCAAGTCGGCCCAGACTCAGTTTTTAAAGGAGAGGCTATCTGAACGACCACTGCATCTAGTTTATGTGCAGTGTGTTGAGAAGATCAGCAATCCTGCAGAGTCCTTCGCTTGGATGAAGTCGTCTGGCCTGAAAAGTGAAACAGGAGGCTTTCTGTTTGCTGCTCAGGACCAGTCACTTCCAACTCGAAACCGTCAATGTGTGATTTTGCATCAAAATGTATATATGAAATGTAGATTATGTAATGATTTTAATGAGACTGTCCAACACATTGTCAGTGGATGCCCAGCTTTGGCACAAACACAGTATCTTAAACGACATGATGGTGTAGCTCGATCATTTTATTACCGTCTCAGCTATGCTTGTGGTTTTGTCACAGAGGTCCACCCATGGTACGACCCGGAATATGTAGAGGGCGTCATGGAAAATGATAAATACAGAATTCGTTGGAATAGGCCCATTTACAGCCTCAGACGTATCCAGGTCAACAAACCTGATCTTGTCCTTTTTGATAAATCCAATATAATCATTTATATCGTTGAATTTTCAGTCCCCTTTGACACTAATGTGATTGACAAGATTGAGGAAAAACCTCGCTTTCGAAATGTCACGCTTGCATCCCAAGTACCAAGTTGTCCGACTCTCCATTGTTTTCGGTGCCTTAGGTTTGGTACCTCCCAATCTGTTGACTGACATTGGGAGAGTACGCGGGTTTGGTACCAGGAATACAGCCCTTCTGACAAGCTGGGTAATGCAGAAGGCTGCAGTGTTGGGGAGTCTTCACATTCTCCGAAAAGTTATGGGTGTGTTTGACTAGGCAGCAAGGGGGCAAGGGCCCTGAGCTGACGATGAGCCTAATCAGCCTGACTGTAATAATAATAATAATAATAATAATAATAATAATGAAATACTAGTACTGCTGCTGCTACTGCTACAACTACTGCCACTACTCCTTATACAACCACCACTGGCACTATTTCTACAGCTACTACTACCACTACCACCACTGCTACTACAACTACTACTACTACTACTACTACTACTACTACTACTACAACTACAACTACAACTACTACTACTACTACTACCACCACCACTACTACTACAACCACCACTACTACCAGTACTGCTGCTACTACTACAACTACCACCACTACTACTACTTCTACTACCATCACTACCACTACCACACTACAACTACAACTGCTACTACTGCATCTACTACCATCAGTACCACTAATAATAACAATAATACTAATAATAATTCTAATAATACCACAAGTACTAGCACTACTACTACAACCAATAATAATAATAATAATAATAATAATGATAATAAGGCAACTACCACTACTAATACTACTATTACTCAACAGCCTACCTTGAGATTGCGAGGTTTGTCCCTGGGTAGCGTGTTTTGACTGACATGGGTGTAGAAGTGCTGCCCTGGGGGGGTGCGGATTCCCCGCCCCTGTCCAACCACCCCGCCAGGAGACGGCCCGACACCCCGTGACACTGTAGTCTTCGTGTTGGAGACGTTATCTGCCATACATTTCTTGCCATCCATGCTCTGTACTTGCACCGACTTGTCATACAAGTCAATATAAATATAATGGATTATACTGGTCGTTCTAGCATTCGTTGCTTCAGGTCACGTATGGCCTCCAGAGGGTGGATGTCACGTGGTCCACTGTAGGTTTTGGAGTATATGTGAGGAGAAAGATTTTTCTGCTACCCTGGCAACGACATATAACCAAGAGAATTGATTTTCTTAAAGCTATGAAAAATTTACACTGACATTCAACGATAAACCGTCTTATTGATTCTCATAGTGCTAACGCTTTAAACGACATAGTTGGTGCTAATTTGAGAGATTTCAAAACGGTAAACCAATCGGTCGTTCTCAACTAAAAACAGAGTAGCACCGATACAGCTCAACTTCATTCAATGAAGATCAGGGTTGGAATTGGTCTTCGGCACTCTATGCTTGTCAAAAGAGACAATTAACGGAATCGGTTGGTCAGTATGTCTGATCTGGTTGTCATCGTATTCCAATTGCGTAGATCGATGCTTATGATGTCAGTCACTAGACTGTCTGGTCCAGAGTCGATTCTTTTACAAAACGTTGTCATATTGCTGTTATATTGATGTGTGCGGCGTTAAACAGCAAGCGAACAAAATATGTATTCCGTGGCATAATGAGTGAGTGAATATGGTTTTAGACCGCTTTTAGCAATATTCCTGCAATATCACGGCGGGGGACACCAGAAAATGGCTTCACACATTGTGCCCATGTTGGGAATCGAACCTGGGTCATCGGCGTGACGAGCGAACGCTTCAACCACTAGGCTACCCGACCGCCCCTCTACAACTATATCAGACTAATTTCTTCTCTTAGCAATGCTAGATACTGTTTGTAATTACAGTAAACTACGGTTATAACGAACACGCTTATAACGATCTGACGGATATAACGAACTTACTTTTTTGGACCCGACTATTTGCTGTAGTTATACTTATAAATGCTTACAACCAACTAAAAATATTAGTCCCTTTGAGTTCGTTATAACCGTAGTTTACTGTATACAAACTGGACTCAGAGAGTGAGAACCTCTCAGGGAGTTCACATTATCAGCACTACTTGAAGTTGTTTATGATTGGATTAGGTGCACGGTAGAGCATCAAACAGTCAAACAATAACAATTCAGTTCTATCCAATACGTTACTATATCTGATTCAGATTGTAAACATTGCTGCATTGTATCAAGTGACCAATCATTTCTTACAACCAAAAGACGAAGAACAAATATATTGATAACTGTCAATGAGCATGGACCGGCGCCAACCACGCCGACACTAAGTAGGGGAGACACACACTGTGTCTTACAAAACAAGACGCAAACATGATGAGTGTTTGAATGGATTGCCGATGAAAATGAATGAGCCCCCGCGAGTGGTCTTTAAACCCAGATTGGCACTGCATATGCTCAGCTGTCATATTATACTTGCAAACACTGGCAGGCACTTAAAGTCCATTTCGCAAGCCAACATGATTTGGGGACCACTAAAGAAACAGAAGCAAGCCGTGCAAGGGTTAGTTTCACGTCACACTGCTCATTGTAAAGTATACTATATGACGTCACAGTCAGACCCAATTTCTAGCTCTCTGTTTACTTTAAGGACACTCTACTCTTCAATTTCGACAGTGTTTTCTGCCACAAAATGTACTGACACACAGATTTTAAATTGTTCCGCAACTCTGTAACCCTCTGTATTATTTAAAAATGCCGACAATGGTTAAGAAAGACGTACACTTCTATACTCTTCCCAGCCATACACGTTGCTTTACCCAGTCTGTCCTTATCCATGTTAAGAAAGACGTACACTTCTATACTCTTCCCAGTCATACAAGTTGCTTTACCAAGTCTGTCCTTATCCATGTTAAGAAAGACGTACACTTCTATACTCTTCCCAGTCATACAAGTTGCTTTACCAAGTCTGTCCTTATCCATGTTAAGAAAGACGTACACTTCTATACTCTTCCCAGTCATACAAATTGCTTTACCAAGTCTGTCCTTATCCATGTTAAGAAAGACGTACACTTCTATACTCTTCCCAGTCATACAAGTTGCTTTACCAAGTCTGTCCTTATCCATGTTAAGAAAGACGTACACTTCTATACTCTTCCCAGTCATACAAGTTGCTTTACCAAGTCTGTCCTTATCCATGTTAAGAAAGACGTACACTTCTATACTCTTCCCAGCCATACAAGTTGCTTTACCAAGTCTGTCCTTATCCATGTTAAGAAAGACGTACACTTCTATACTCTTCCCAGCCATACACGTTGCTTTACCCAGTCTGTCCTTATCCATGTTAAGAAAGACGTACACTTCTATACTCTTCCCAGTCATACAAGTTGCTTTACCAAGTCTGTCCTTATCCATGTTAAGAAAGACGTACACTTCTATACTCTTCCCAGCCATACAAGTTGCTTTACCAAGTCTGTCCTTATCCATGTTAAGAAAGACGTACACTTCTATACTCTTCCCAGCCATACACGTTGCTTTACCCAGTCTGTCCTTATCCATGTTAAGAAAGACGTACACTTCTATACTCTTCCCAGTCATACAAGTTGCTTTACCAAGTCTGTCCTTATCCATGTTAAGAAAGACGTACACTTCTATACTCTTCCCAGCCATACAAGTTGCTTTACCCAGTCTGTCCTTATCCATGTTAAGAAAGACGTACACTTCTATACTCTTCCCAGTCATACAAGTTGCTTTACCAAGTCTGTCCTTATCCAAAGGTGCTGGACGAGTGGGCGACTTTGTTTCCATGAGAAGTCATTTTCTTACACACCTGTGGGTGAGAAACCCATTTGAGATAACTGGTATCAAACATTTGTGTGAGATCGAATTCAAGGCCCGTGATTGGCTACTCCATGGTGATGACCTGGGGTCAGATGATGACGGACTACTTTCCTGAGTGTAAGTCATTCATAAGTTGCTCGTGCTTCAGTCGAATGTTCACCTACGTGTGCACACACTCCGTCGCAGTGGTGACTCAGCATAACACCACTGCCACAGGCTAATTTGCATATCACGTGACCGGACTTTTCTCTTGTTTGTAAACAAACGCGCTTTTTCAGAAATCAGTATAGAACGGACTAATGCAAGTATTTGGGGGCGCTTTACATATTGTTTTGCATATCTATATAGATATGCTACTACAACTGCGACAGTGAGTTGCATGACAATATATATTTATGCATCAAAGTGACCGTGTCGCTAGCTCTCCGTTGGGCTTCGATGACAGCACGTGGAGCCGTACAACCAATGTAAACATAGGATAACTACGCAAAAACAAGTAGATTTTTACGTATTTGCATACTTTCTCAATGAAAGTTAACCTTTCTTTGACATTTGTTTATGAAAATGTGTAGACTTGTCAAACATGAAACGGATGAAAAGCATATGCAATATCTTGAATGGACTGTGAAAGATGTGACGAATCGTCACATGGCGCTGGCCTGTGGCAGAGGTACTATGCTAGCTGGCTGCCGGCCGCATGGAACTCTGGGTAGGAGAGTGACGTGTGCATTGAACAAGAGGACCGTGTAATTAATAATAAAAATAAACAAACTCGTCCTCGTCTGCGAGTTTGTTTGTTATTATTATCAGTTATATTATCTGTTGTTATGTCAACATTATCGTTTTTTCAGAGTGCAAACCCCCTGGCTGCCACAGCGACACATATGTCCCTTCTCTTCAACCCTCACTTCGAAATCGAATAAAATTCAAAATACATCACGCAGACACTTCACAGTTTTGAATTCCCCCTTCTGTTTATCATTTACTGTCATTTTAGGCAATTCAAAATTACTGAAAGTGCCTGAAAGTTAGGTACATTGTAAATCTCGCCAAATCACAATTCACGGCGTTATATGAATATTTACTGTGTGTTTAGAAATCTAAATATCGGATATTTACTCGAATAATGAAAGTAGCAAGATAGCATTCATGTTAGCGATCACGGGTATCAAATCACTAATGATAATCCTGAAACGTCGCTGATAAGCCTAGAATCGTTTAGAATGTTTTGGAACATATGCACACACGAACGCCGAAGTGTACGTTCCGCCATATTGGATTGTGTTTACAAAATGCCGGTTATGAGACGCCTATATTCGATCAGGTATATTTCAAACTCAGCTGCTATACATGCATCCCTGAATTCCTCATACATTTTCGAAACAATGGATAAATGGTCTTTGTCACCAGTGCAATTATCTAGATGAAATCATGCGAAATAAATTAGGTATGGAAACGAAAACTGTGCTCGGAAAATTGTACTTGCTGAAATGTAAACAAAGCAAAATTCAGATGTTACACTGCATTAAAAGAGGTACTTTCGTCTAATTGTTACATACATTGGCTCGATCACGCGTTTGAGCATATTCATGGGAAGAGTATCGTTGCACTAATTATGGAACTACACATATATACATTACAATGATGTGGTAAATTCAACAGAAGCCGTAAAAGTTTCCGTCCTGTGTGACGCCATGACTGACGCTAAATCACGCACAACGATGACGGTACTAGTTATCTGCATTTCTGACTAATTCTCTTTGTTACATTGGAAAACATGGTAAACAAATAACAGTACGCAGATTGTCAGAATGTTTCTGATTACTTACGTGACACATTTATGTGTATACGATCCCTTAATCAACGAAAACCTCCTCTGGAAATCCCGCGTACTGTTGTCAGTGAACACGCCATTTTGTAAAAGTCGGTCACCGGTAGTGATGTCATACGGAAGTAAACATTGTTGTACATATTTGGTAATTTCTTTGAGGTGTAAACTTTCAACTTGGCACCCAGCGCGTTCTTGGTTTTTGTCTAGTTTGCATTTTCATCATCGCCTTGATAATCCACAGATAGGACGGAAACCTTTTTGTGTAGGGTCACATTATTTATGAGTAGTAGGCAGCACATAGGATGACGTCACTTATGACAGTGGTGTTATATGTATCAATGCGCTACTGCAATCATTAGAATAGACAAAATTCCTCGGTTCGACGCTAAAAAGATGCGATTTTAGGGTGTGTAAGAAACTCGCTTTCGCTCGTTAGATATGTTTTGAAACAACTCGTTGTAAGATCAATGGTATCTGACAGACACTCGTGTAGTAATCTCTATTTATCATCCAAAAATGGCTCCCACGGGAGATATCACTTGGATGAGATCAAACGATATCTACATTGTAGATATCGCTGCAATGAAATTGCATCACAAAGCTTTGTAGACTATTGTGACATCATTGGTTACCATGACGTCACAATCAAATGACACCACTAATGGCTCTGCTACTGAAGCTGTTAGCAGTACTTTTTACACTTAAAACACTGTCTACAAGCTGAAAAAATTGGAAGAATGATGTTGGATGATAAATGAAATCTCACTCGTTGATAAAAGTGGAAAAACTCCTCGGCAAGCCTCAGAGTTTTTCCACTTTTATAATTTTGTGTTGATATATTTGATATCAAAAGACACTCGGGCAAGATTCTCTATGTTTCACACAGCATAGTGATCTGTTCGTCAGGAATTTAAGTTATAACTGTGTTGACTGTTCCATGCAAAGTTAAGGAGACATGACTGACAATGAGTTGAGTATCAATTTGATGAACGAGTATGATAGTCGGCCAGAATGGTCCAGATAGTCGGCCAGCATGGTCCCGATAGTCGGCCAGCATGGTCCCGATAGTCGGCCAGCATGGTCCAGATAGTCGGCCAGAATGGTCCAGATAGTCGGCCAGCATGGTCCCGATAGTCGGCCAGAATGGTCCAGATAGTCGGCCAGCATGGTCCAGATAGTTGACCAGTATGGTCCAGATAGTCGGCCAGCATGGTCCAGATAGTTGGCCAGCATGGTCCATATAGTTGGCCAGCATGGTCCAGATAGTCGGCCAGCATGGTCCATATAGTTGGCCAGCATGGTCCATATAGTTGGCCAGCATGGTCCAGATAGTTGGCCAGCATGGTCCAGATAGTCGGCCAGCATGGTCCATATAGTTGGCCAGCATGGTCCAGATAGTTGGCCAGCATGGTCCAGATAGTTGGCCAGCATGGTCCAGATAGTTGACAGGTATGGTCCCGATAGTTGGCCAGCATGGTCAAGATAGTTGGCCAGCATGGTCCAGATAGTTGGCCAGCATGGTCTACCGTGAAAGAGTATGACAGTTGGCCAGTATGGTCCAGATAGTTGGCCAGCATGGTCCAGATAGTTGGCCAGCATGGTCCAGATAGTTGGCCAGTGTGGTCCCGATAGTTGGCCAGCAGGGTCCAGATAGTTGGCCAGTATGGTCCTGGTAGTTGGCCAGCATGGTCCAGATAGTTGGCCAGCATGATCCAGATAGTTGGCCAGTATGGTCCAGATAGTTGGCCAGTATGGTCCACTGTGAAAGAGTATGATAGTTGGCCAGCATTGTCCACTGTGACAGAGTGTGATAGTTGGCCAGCATGGTCCACTGCGAAAGAGTATGATAGTTGGCCAGCATGGTCCACTGTGAAAGAGTATGATAGTTGGCCAGCATGGTCCACTGTGAAAGAGTATGATAGTTGGCCAGCATGGTCCACTGTGAAAGAGTATGATAGTTGGCCAGCATGGTCCACTGTGAAAGAGTGTGATAGTTGGCCAGCATGGTCAACTGTGAAAGACTATGATAGTTGGCCAGCATGGTTCACTGTGAAAGAGTATGATAGTTGGCCAGCATGTGCCACTGTGAAAGAGTGTGATAGTTGGCCAGCATGGTCCACTGTGAAAGAGTATGATAGTTGGCCAGCATGGTCCACTGTGAAAGAGTATGATAGTTGGCCAGCATGGTCCACTGTGAAAGAGTGTGATGGTTGGCCAGCATGGTCCACTGTGACAGAGTGTGATAGTTGGCCAGCATGGTCCACTGTGAAAGAGTATGATAGTTGGCCAGAATGGTCCACTGTGAAAGAGTGTGATGGTTGGCCAGCATGGTCCACTGTGAAAGAGTGTGATAGTTGGTCAGCATGATCCACTGTGAAGGAGTATGATAGTTGGCCAGCATGGTCCACTGTGAAAGAGTGTGATAGTTGGCCAGCATGGTCCACTGTGAAGGAGTGTGATAGTTGGCCAGCATGGTCCACTGTGAAGGAGTATGATAGTTGGCCAGCATGGTCCACTGTGAAAGAGTGTGATAGTTGGCCAGCATGGTCCACTGTGAAAGAGTATGATAGTTGGCCAGCATGGTCCACTGTGAAAGAGTATGATAGTTGACCAGCATGGTCCACTGTGAAGGAGTGTGATAGTTGGCCAGTATGGTCCACTTTGAAAGAGTGTGATAGTTGGCCAGCATGGTCCACTGTAAAAGAGTATGATAGTTGGCCAGCATGGTCCACTGTGAAAGAGTATGATAGTTGGCCAGCATGGTCCACTGTGAAAGAGTGTGATAGTTGGACAGCATGGTCCACTGTGAAAGAGTATGATAGTTGACCAGCATGGTCCACTGTGAAGGAGTGTGATAGTTGGCCAGCATGGTCCACTGTGAAAGAGTGTGATAGTTGGCCAGCATGGTCCACTGTGAAGGAGTGTGATAGTTGGCCAGCATGGTCCACTGTGAAGGAGTATGATAGTTGGCCAGCATGGTCCACTGTGAAAGAGTGTGATAGTTGGCCAGCATGGTCCACTGTGAAAGAGTATGATAGTTGGCCAGCATGGTCCACTGTGAAAGAGTATGATAGTTGACCAGCATGGTCCACTGTGAAGGAGTGTGATAGTTGGCCAGTATGGTCCACTTTGAAAGAGTGTGATAGTTGGCCAGCATGGTCCACTGTAAAAGAGTATGATAGTTGGCCAGCATGGTCCACTGTGAAAGAGTATGATAGTTGGCCAGCATGGTCCACTGTGAAAGAGTGTGATAGTTGGACAGCATGGTCCACTGTGAAAGAGTATGATAGTTGGCCAGCATGGTCCACTGTGAAAGAGTATGATAGTTGGCCAGAATGGTCCACTGTGAAAGAGTATGATAGTTGGCCAGCATGGTCCACTGTGAAAGAGTATGATAGTTGGCCAGCATGGTTCACTGTGAAAGAGTATGATAGTTGGCCAGCATGGTCCACTGTGAAAGAGTATGATCGTTGGCCAGCATGGTCCACTGTGAAAGAGCATGATAGTTGGCCAGCATGGTCCACTGTGAAAGAGTATGATAGTTGGCCAGCATGGTCCACTGTGAAAGAGTATGATAGTTGGCCAGCATGGTCCACTGTGAAAGAGTATGATAGTTGGCCAGCATGGTCCACTGTGAATTGGGGAGGGGAAGAGCCTGATTACATGGTGGGTGATAGTTGAGCAAGGATTGAAACATTCCAAACATAACGTGTTTAACTGCATTCTACCATGGCTGAATAAAACTCGAACTTTTTGGTGTCAACAAATATATTTAGTGAAGCGGCTTGGCTGTAGTTGGTGTTATGAGTTGTTCGTGGATCTGACCTACTGAATCACCGACGACAGCCTTTGAACAAAATATGGCGTTGAGTGTGCTCAATCGTTTTTGTACCCTAATATTTCAGTCGAACACATGACAGGCTATGGAAAGAATGTAGTACACCTAAGTGGTCGCCCTTAAAGGAAACCAAACATGCTCTGCAAGGTCACGATTATGACCCAAAAGATTAGATGTCACAGTCGTACGGGTGCAGTGTGTCTGTGGGTGGGCGTGGGGGTTCAATCATCTTCCCGAGGCAAAAGAGTTAACTGACTTTACATGTCCAGTTTTCATACTTGGCGAACAAGACTGGAATTCCTGCGCACGATCGTAGCTCCACCAGTGGCTATTACGAGTTATGTCCACTCTATGCCTCTCTGGACAAATGAGATTCCACCTCTCGCATCACTTGCATTTGCTTCAAACAAAATTGCGGGGCCCATTTAAGACGATCTGATCGATAATCAAGATCTATATTGTGATAAAACGGGTCTTACATCACGAAGTGCATCAAATCACGTGAGCACCTTGATTAAAAACATGAACAGATTTAGAAAATATCTGTTGACAACGAGTTGGCGGTGCACATGCTTTGCAAATCCTACAATCGGCCGAAATCTGCATGACGGCTTACGAACCGGAATTCGATTTCATTGAGCGATTTTGATTGGACTATGCATAGACTCGTTAGTCAATCCAAAATCTAACTCCATAATACCAGCCTAGTTCGGAAAGGGTGGAAACTGGATTTTTATAGTCAGTTAACTCTCTTGCCTCGAGAAGAAGAGGTTCCAGCTAACAGATAGATATATTATTACTGAAGTCACAGGCAGGGGCGTCTAATATGTGAACAGAGGCTTGAGAGAGTTAGCTGTGAGAATGTTAGTAGTCAAGTTATGGTTTTATAATATAATTTATTCAGAAGAGAAATCAATCGGTTTTTATCTGATACTTCTGGCCCTATCCCTAACTTCAATAAATTACCCATTTGCTATTTCAGTATTTGATGATTAAACTATATTCTTTTTTATGTTCTTGACACAAATAAAAAGTGATTAAAAAAAATTCTTAATATGAAAGTTGTCCAAATTTAAGTACTTCACACATGTTCATTTCTCAATTGTGGTGAGCTTAAACATTAACAAAGTCAACAGTGACTTATTCAAGAGCTGTTCCCAGTTGGATAAATACCCTAGCATGAAATCTCATGTTATTGCTATCCTAAAACGCTTGCTTGTAAATTTCATGTGGTAACCATGACCTTCAAAGTCAACCAGAATTATGCCATACTTGTAATGAAAACATATTAAAAAAATTGTTAAAAGAATGCAAATTCCTACCCTTACTGAGAGCATGTAGGAGACAAAATTGGACATTCAGCTTTAACAAAGAACATGAACAACAAGTTTACAAAACAAAAACCATCCTCAGGGCTCACCGAGTTGGTGCATCTGAGGGTGTAGTCAGCAAGATTGTTGCAATCTGTACCGGTTCGAATCTCAATCCATTTGTTTTGAGATGTTCTGCCGAAATAATTTCCATGTCATTCAGTAAGTTAAAGTTGATTATGTATTTTCAGTGGTTTCAATATAAAAATGATATGTTAATTTAGGGATTGTGCCGCTTGTGAGTATAGAAAAAAACCGTTTAAGAAATATGTTCATTTTTCTTGCAGTTGTAAATAGTACTCAGATCATGCTGAATATCGTGGACTTTTGTCCACCATCTGAAACAAGAGAAACCATCTACACCACAATAAATTTAGTAAAATCTAAATATATTCTACATGTGTATACTTATCCTGCATTACTCCGTATTGCATCTACTGCTGTCTTTTGACAGAGAGACGAACTGTGTGAGGTCCAGCTGCGGAAGAAAGTTGTATCAACCGCCAGGAGGCAGCACCCCCCTCGCACAGTCGGCACGTGACCCGGAAGTCACGACTGCACATCAAAACACATAGCAGCCGGGTTCCCTGGGTATGCTGCGCTGGCGCTACCCAGGCAATGACTGCACAAACATTAATAAAGCTGTTTCGAGACTCGAAATTGGTCGTCACAACGGTGAAATGTAAACAATGACACGCACACCATTTTCAGTAGTGATATGTGCGTTAACATTTTGTGTCACTGTTGACCAATTTCGAGTCTCGAAGCAGCTTAAACAAGAGTTTGCCACTAACGTGGCTATATCCCCCGCCCCTGTTGCAGAATTTATGACATAATTAAATCTAAACAAACCCTAACCTTTTTCTAAAGTAACAATGGACGTTATTCTCGTGACATATACATTGCAAGAGCATTCATGAAAATGCTAAGAAAAAAATTAACCATCCGTTCTAGCGTTTTTCTATAGTAAATACATGGCGTGTCCGCCATGTTTGTTCGCCTAGTGGACGCGGACGTAAGAGCGAAAGCGGAACGCCGTAGAGCCCTCTAATCTGAGGTGATAAACACCAGAGCGTTCGACGGGCCCCGTTTGGGTAATCGGAGAATCAGCGGCGTCGGCGTCGACGGGCCCCGCTAGGGGTATCAGAGAATCAGCGGCGTTGGCGTCGGCGCCGGTGTCAACATCTACTACCATTCCTGTCGTCAGGAAACGAGAGTCGATACAAAAAGTAAAACCCGAATAGGTGACAGAAGTAGAATGAGGCGGGTAGCCAAAAACTAGAACTGACCTAAGAGCGAATGCGGAACGCAGTAGAGCCCTCTAGTCTGGAGGTGAGATACACCAGAGAGGTCGACGGGCCCCGCTCATGGTAACGGAGAATCAGTGGCGTTGGTGACTGGTGACCTGTTGGGCTACAACCAGGGATCAAACTGTGAACACCGGCAACATCTTCCAAGGCTACATCACGGAGGTAGTGGCGAAGGCGCTGTCAGATCGCCAAGAACAGCCTTCCATGGGCGATTGGATGGAACTTATATTGTGAAGAGCCATGGTAAATGCGATCGCCCTGATCTCGTGTGGGTTGATAGCCTTGGGGGAGGGTCCAATCCGGCGGCTTTATAAGCTTGGAGGATAACCGACCGGAGCCACAGGGAAAAAGTATTCCGGCTGACCCCCAACTTCGACGAAGGGGAGACCGGCGGAAAAAGAGGCCTTTCCTAGACTTGCGGCAGGCTTTAGATCGTCGTTGGAAACCTTCAGTGCCCTGATGCTTAGGTTGTAGAAGGAAGACGAGTGGAGTGGTTCGAAGGGATCCGTCCAAAGAAACGGGTCTTACATCACGAAGTGCATCAAATCACGTGAGCACCTTGATTAAAAACATGAACAGATTTAGAAAATATCTGTGACAACGAGTTGGCGGTGCACATGCTTTGCAAATCCTACAATCGGCCGAACTCTGCATGACGGCTTACGAACCGGAATTCGATTTCATTGCGCGATTTTGATTGGACTATGCATAGACTCGTTAGTCAATCCAAAATCTAACTCCATAATACCAGCCTAGTTCGGAAAGGGTGGAAACTGGATTTTTATAGTCAGTTAACTCTCTTGCCTCGAGAAGAAGAGGTTCCAGCTAACAGATAGATATATTATTACTGAAGTCACAGGCAGGGGCGTCTAATATTTGAACAGAGGCTTGAGAGAGTTAGCTGTGAGAATGTTAGTAGTCAAGTTATGGTTTTATAATATAATTTATTCAGAAGAGAAATCAATCGGTTTTTATCTGATACTTCTGGCCCTATCCCTAACTTCAATAAATTACCCATTTGCTATTTCAGTATTTGATGATTAAACTATATTCTTTTTTATGTTCTTGACACAAATAAAAAGTGATTAAAAAAAATTCTTAATATGAAAGTTGTCCAAATTTAAGTACTTCACACGTGTTCATTTCTCAATTGTGGTGAGCTTAAACATTAACAAAGTCAACAGTGACTTATTCAAGAGCTGTTCCCAGTTGGATAAATACCCTAGCATGAAATCTCATGTTATTGCTATCCTAAAACGCTTGCTTGTAAATTTCATGTGGTAACCATGACCTTCAAAGTCAACCAGAATTATGCCATACTTGTAATGAAAACATATTAAAAAAATTGTTAAAAGAATGCAAATTCCTACCCTTACTGAGAGCATGTAGGAGACAAAATTGGACATTCAGCTTTAACAAAGAACATGAACAACAAGTTTACAAAACAAAAACCATCCTCAGGGCTCACTGAGTTGGTGCATCTGAGGGTGTAGTCAGCAAGATTGTTGCAATCTGTACCGGTTCGAATCTCAATCCATTTGTTTTGAGATGTTCTGCCGAAATAATTTCCATGTCATTCAGTAAGTTAAAGTTGATTATGTATTTTCAGTGGTTTCAATATAAAAATAATATGTTAATTTAGGGATTGTGCCGCTTGTGAGTATAGAAAAAAACCGTTTAAGAAATATGTTCATTTTTCTTGCAGTTGTAAATAGTACTCAGATCATGCTGAATATCGTAGCCTTTTGTCCACCATCTGAAACAAGAGAAACCATCTACACCACAATAAATTTAGTAAAATCTAAATATATTCTACATGTGTATACTTATCCTGCATTACTCCGTATTGCATCTACTGCTGTCTTTTGACAGAGAGACGAACTGTGTGAGG